AAAAAAATTTTAATATTTATTTTTGAGAGAGAGAGAGAGAGAGACAGTGTGGGGGGGGGGGAGGGGAAGAGAGAGAGGGAGACACAGAATCCAAAGCAGGCTCCAGGCTCTGAGCTGTCAGCACAGAGCCCGACATGGGGCATGGACCCACAAGCTGTGAGATCATGACCTGAGCTGAAGTCAGACGTTTGACTGAGCCACCCAGGTGCCCCCAAAATGATTTTTTTTATAAGGAAGGAAACCTAAAAGCAATGAAAGATGTCGTAAAAGGTAGATTGCACTATTTTTAACAAAGGTATTATACAGCATGTGACTATAGGTAAAAATACTGTATTCTATATTTGAAAGTTGCTAAGAGAGTATATCTTAAAAGTTCTTATCACAGGGGGAAAAATGTATGTAAGGTGGTGGATATTAACTAGACTTAGTGTGGTAATCACTTTGCAATATATATAAATATTGAATCATTATGTTGACACCTGCAGCTAATAAGTCATACATCAATTATATTTCGAAAAATGTCTAAAAATAGGAAAATATTAGACAATAAAGAGTAATAGCCTCAATATGTAAATAATTCATACAAATTAGTTAGAAAACACTCAGGTCCTAACTAAATAAGGTAAATGGGCAAAGTCCTTACCTGGAATTTTTCAAAACCAGAAAAACAAAAGATTACTAGATATGATAAACTGTTTTATTTTCTTAATAGTCTCAGATTTGCTGTACCAAAGACATACACATTTCTTAGATTTTTCACCTTAGAAAAGTTTTTAAAAAGTGAACATAGTACTGAGAGAGTGAGGTATAGTGAGCTTTCTCGAACATGGTTGGTGGGTGTACAAGTCAGCAAAATTATCTGGTTAGCAATTTTGAAAATGTGTGTCAAAAGTCTTCAAAATCTTCACCTTTGAGCCAGTATTCCACTGCTAAGAGTCTATCCTAAAAATAGATATGTAACTAAAGTTGACAGATCTTTGTACATAAGAATGTTGATTCAAATGTTATTTTTTGCAATAATGGTAAAAATGAAAACTATGTGATACTAGTACAGTGGTTAAGTCTTGATATTTCAAGAAAGGACATAAGTGACCTTGACAATGTTAGGAAGAGTTTCTAATGAGGGATGGAAATGCTTATCTTAAATGAAAAAAAAAACAGGGTAAAAATATTCCGCATATAATATTGTACTCCCTATTTTATTTAAAAAAAATTTTTTTTAACGTTTATTTTTGAGACAGAGAGTATGAACGGGGGAGGGTCAGAGAGAGAGGGAGACACAGAATCTGAAACAGTCTCCAGGCTCTGAGCTGTCAGCACAGAGCCCGACGCGGAGCTCGAACCCACGGACCGCGAGATCGTGACCTCAGCCGAAGTCAGCCGCTTAACCGACTGAGCCGCCCAGGCACCCCTGTACTCCCTATTTTAAAAAAAAATCACAGGAAAAAGCCAGGAAGACTATACTGAAATATTAATAGTTATTGTCTTTGTCATGGGATTGGGAGGGCCATCACTTTATTCTTTTTTTCTGTATTTCTCAACTTTTCTAGAGTGGATATTCATCCCTTTTATAATGAGAAACCTTTTTTTTTTTAAGTGAAAGGAAATCCACATATAAGTTTTAGTGAAGTTCAAAAGATTCTCCTCGGGCTTAATAACCTTCACCTGTGAGGGCTGCCCCCCCACCCCTTTTAACAAAGTATCCAAATGTGGGAAAGTGCCCTACTTATAATCATCTCAAGGTCCAAGCTACTACCCTGACACTTTCTAATTTCATAAAGCCACTAATTAGTCTAGCTATCAATGTATTCTGAATTGAAATTATATTTTTGTTTGGTATTTCTTTTCCTATTGTAGGAAAATGGTGTATTTCATTTTATACCCATTCATATATTTTTGTGTTTTATCCTCTTATCAGTCTTTACAGCTCTTTGAAATATCTTAAAACATTTCCATGCAAATGTATTTTATCCTGTCCTAAGTGATTTAGGATTTTGTTATTTCTGTTAAGTGCTTGTATCGAATAGAAGAGAGCTATCAAATGAGAACTCATTTTTAGTAAGTTTATTTGATCTGTTCTTGCTTATAAAATGGTCTCCCCTCCCCCACACACTTCTGATCTTGAAATAATTTTGTTATCTTTCAGGCCATCTGCACTTACTGATCCCACCCGTTGTTTAAGGTACCTACTCTTGTAGGCAGATTTGGCCCCATCCTGCATTGCTACCAATGACTGTGGATAATTTGTTCTGTTACGCATTAAACTGTTTCCTCTTCTGCCAACTTAGAGCTGACAAACCATACTGTGTGGTGAAGAGAGTTGTGCCCTTATGCAGGAAGTTAAAAAAACATCAGTGCATGTAGTCTCTATCTTAGAGAACCTTGAATTGTGGAGCCAAAGTTTTATTTATTTATTTTAATCATAAGGAAATAACAAGTAACAATTGTATGGAGAAAACAGAGGATTATTCAAGCATTTAATCTGACAATACATGTCTGGGGTTATAGAACATCATTAGTAATTTTGGTACAAACTATTGGAAATAGAAAGGATTAGTAAAATAGTGATGCCTGACCTTTTTCCCCCTGACTTTACTGTGATACTCTTTTTTCCCCCTTCATCGTATTTTACATTTATTTTTCCTTTGTTTCCACAGTTTCCCCCCCACCCCACCCTTTCCCACTTTTTAGGGCCTGCTGGAACAGACTATATTTAACCTAGTTTTTCCCCACGTTTAATAAAATATTTTAATTGTTCTATATTTCACAGTATATTCATCAGTTACACTTTCGCTGTTCCCGCAAAGCCAAGCAAATATATGGCTATTTGAAGACACTGTTTTAATTACTGGAAAATTAGCTGGTAAGTACAACACTTCTTCTCAACTTGTAGGTAAAAACTTAGTGATAATCACTTTAATTATGTTACTGTAGTTCTTCACTAATGAATTCATGTTAGTTGTAAAAGTCTAAATTGCTCAAGGATGATTAGTACTGCTGTAAGTTGATCTTAACTGATTCTTATTTCACTGTCAAACAACAATATGGGGGTTTGTATAGTGGGAATCATTCTGTACTATTTTAGCATCCTGGCCCCAGTAGGAACATTTGAGTTTCCGAAAGACTGCACTGAGATTCTGAGCTTCTTTCCAAGTCACATCTCTCACGGAGCTTTAGTGGTCAGTGAAATTAGGAAAAGGTTGGAACTTTGGGACTCTCTAATGCAGGCACTTCCATCCCTGAGTGGGAAGGGCCTGAGAGTGGGTAAGGTCTTTCCATAGCAGGTGGGATTTACCCCACTTGCATATCCCATGGGCCAGATACAGGAAGCTTTATTTGGAGTCTGATTTAAACTATGACCTCTAGTTCTGCTTTACCAACCCTGAGAATGACAGTTCCAGCATGACCTTTACCCCCCTGCCATCTTCCTTAACTAGTTCTTAGGGGAACCCCCACATTTTGCACTCTTTTACTGCATGTTATATAAAACCTCTATCGATGACAAAAAATTTTTTTTGTATTGGGGAATCGATGTTTAAGACTAAAGCATAATAGTAATGATTGATTGGTAAAGGCAGAGAATCCTCAAAGTAAGAGTCCAATAAGAGTCATGATAAAAAGAAATTGTGAAAGTTCATTTTCAGAAGCTATCTTTTTTTTAATGTTTATTTTTGACAGGAGGAGGGGCAGAGAGAGAGAGAGGATACAAGTGGGAGAGGGAACAGAAAGAGAGAGAGAAAGAGAATCCAAATCAGGCTCCAGGCTCTGAGCTGTCAGCACAGCCCAATGCGGGGCTTGAACTCACCGTGAGATCACAACCTGAGCCAAAGTCTGATAATCGACTGAGCCACCCAGGCGCCCCTCAGAAGTTATCTTATTTCAAAAATATTAAAGAAAATATTTGGAAAAAAAATTAAACCAGTGTGTGATTTACTGAGGAAATTACCAGAATCTTACTCTTGAAATCTAATAGATTTAATAGAATTTTGAGTTGCAAGTTTGCTTTGCCTGGCAGGATGGGTGCATGTGGCATGGTGTGCAGAAGGATGAAAAGTAAATAGGAACCATTTACCATAGAGAAAGGCTACACGTTATGCTGCTGGGACCTTAGTAAAAACAGTCCCTCTTCAGCAGCACCTTCTTGTTAAGGTTGTGTTTTGACACATTCCTACTTCATACTGTCTTCTTCAAACCCCATTACAAATTGTAATTTCCTCCAGAATATATGAAATAGATTAGTGTGAACATGTCCATATGCCACTCCTTTGCATTTTACCAAGCAATGGTGAGCACTCATTTATCTGGGAGATACTGTCTATATCTCCATGAGAACACTGTGGGCTCTCTTGAGTTCTCAGCTTCCTTTTACTACCTCAGTGTCCTAAGAGTTGACCCATTGAAAAGCTAAGCAGGAAAGGAGGGGTGTTTCTGCAGATGATAAATCCTTCCTTGGAAGATACACATCCTCACTTCTCAACCTCCATAAAACATTAATATTTTTTCTTCCAGGATTTGATCAGACAGGTGTTCAGTTTGTACAATGAAAATGTGTTAGGTTTGTGTGTGTTTGTGATAAAAAGGGAGCAGGAGAAATTAGAAACTTCAGGAATGTACAAAACCTTAGAGAGGCTCAGGCAGACATTTTACTTAGTGTACATGTTTTCAGTTATAAGAAATTTGGGGCTTCAGCATAATTAAGGCACATGTATATTTTTAACTTTATATTTGAAAATAACTTCAAATGCAGAAATAATTTCCAAATATAGAAAAGTTGCAAGGATAAAAGACAACTCCTGTATACCCTCTACTCAAATTTAGCTATTGATAACATTTTATTCCATTTGCTTTACTACATGTGTATTTGTGCTCTGGGGATGCATACTTTTTTTTCTGAACCATTTGAAGGTAAGTTACATGCATCGTGGCCTTTTACCTCTAAATACTTAAGCATGCACTTGCTAAGATTTGGGATATTAAGTGGCCACAACACAGTTCAGCCAATTTAATGTTGATAGGATAACTTACCATCCAAATTCCAATTTTGGCCACTGGCACTTTTTTTTTTTTTTTTTTTGTCACTCCAGTTTAGGGTCAAATGTTACATTCAGTTTTCATGTCTCAGCCTCTATTAATGTGAAATATTTCCACGGCACTTTTTTAAGGCAGGTATTTTAACAGAGTAAGGTGTAGATAGTACTTGTAAAGTGATCAGAAGGTATTAGATTATACCCTCAATTTAACCAAAGAAGAGTAATAAATGTGTTGTTTTTAGTTATATCTCTTACTTTCCAGGTATTAGTTTTTCTAGCTTCATATGTAAACAATACACTGATTTTGAAAATTATGTTACATTTTTGTCATGTTTTGTGATGTAACTATTTCGAAACTGACACTTTAAAAATTCTAATAATTGAACTGATTGCTTTCGTCTTTGTCAGCATCCTTAAAGTCCAAAGCAATAGCTGATATTTCTGATGAGTTTCAAGGATTTAAGAGTTGACCCTTAAATTGTTAAAAATACATTGATGACAGAAATATCAATACTATCACTGAATTTTCACTTTGTAAGTTATATTAAAGGATAGTCAATTCAAAGTTATTAACATGAGATAACATTTATCAATTGAATACCTGACATTTGGATTGGTTACAGCACATTCTGGCATGCACCATTAGCTTGTGTTACAGAAATGAAACCCCAAGTGAATCAAATGGGCTAAAATGGTCGGTATGCGGTTTCCTAGAGTAAAACCCAAAAAGGATGAAGAAATTCTGGGCAGTAGAATCAAGTGGTCTCCAGGATAAAGGTGCCTTGTGTGACCTAAAGAAAGGAAGATTTCTTATTTCAATTCAGAATTTAAAATATTAATTATAAGGAGATGTTAATGTAACATGTCCTGAACAATGATGTTATGCCTAATATGCATTTGTTTTGTCCATTTGTTAATGAAGTTTCCTTTTTCCAGATGCCAAATCTCAACCAAGTGTTCAGTTTTCAAAAGCCTTAATTAAACTACCTGACAACCATCATATTAGCAACGTAACAGGCTATCTTACAGTTCTACAACAATTTTTGAAAGTGGACAATTTCCTGTATACAACTGGAATTATGCTCAATAAATCAGGTACTATCTAGCTTTTATACAAATAATACTTAAAAGAAACAGTATATAAAGCTAGTTATTAAAATGTTATAAGGCAATTTCCTTTCATCCAGTGAAAGAAAAATTATACCATAATCTTCTGCATACATTATATTAAATTAATGAAAAATTTAATGTACAGGATATTTCTACCCAAAGAAAATAGTAATGGTACTGTATAACTTTGCAGGTTAAAAAAATACATAAAAATGAAAATTTGACCTAAAGACATTTATACATGTTTTTAGAATTTGACCTTCAATTATTATCAAATTAATCAGAACTGTCAATAATTGTTAGACATAAAAAGTTTATAGATGGGAGTAACTAACTGGAAGTTTTTCTTAAATAAATTTGATATTCTAAGTTAGCAAAATTATAAGTTTTTAAAAAACATATACAGTTGACCCTTGAACAATGTAGAGATTGCCTCCCCCCAGTTAAAAAACTCGTATAACTTTTTGATTCTCCAGAAATGTAACTACTGATTGCCTACTGTTGACCAGAAGCCTTACCAATAACTGTCAATTAACACATATTTTGTATATTATATGTGTTATTTACTGTATTCTTACAATAAGCTAGAGGAAGGAAAGTGTTAAGAAAATCCCAAGAAAGAGAAAATACATTTATGGTACTGCATTTATCAAAAACAATGCACATGTGCACTTCAAACCCATGTTATTCAAGGGTCAGCTGTATTCCAGATTCAGCAGCATATATATATATTTCTCTCTATATATATATACACACACAGTATAGGGCTGTCACAACCTAACAGGTAAGAGGATGATGGGCTTTTACATTTTATTTAATATACCCATGAATAAACCCCGTAAAATCTCTCTTCTCTCTACATCCACCTTTGTTCCACTATTTCTACCACCTGTGGCAACATATAACTGAAACTCCACTGTTTTTAAAAATCACCTCAGTCTATAATTTTGATGATTTCATTTAGGTCAAATTTTGTTCCATTTCATTTGGGGAACAACCAGAAATTAGAGTAATAAGCATATAGATGTTTTGGTTAGTTTTGCTTTTTTTTCTTACCTATTGTAGCTGATGCTATTGGTGCTCCAGCAAGATGACTGTCCCTCCTCTGTTATGGGCCTGTGTTTCCTGCTGCACACATCTGTGACTCTGCCTAAAGGCATTCCGTGGTCCAGCAAGTAGGCGAGGCCCTCACTAGGGCAAGCTCTCAACTAATAGACAAGAGTATAAAGAGAGTACATATCTATTCCTTAATACATCTTTTTTTGTCTTCCTTCTTCTTTATATGTCTCCACTCCCTCAGTGGTGGGTACTTCCTCCCAAATTGATATCTCAGGCTTAGCTTCTTGAAGAAGCCAATCTAAGACACCTGCCAAAATTTTCCAGATGGAAGTTATAGGATGCTCAAAATAAAAACATTTACAAGGATGGGACCAGTCTACCATATCACAAATGAAGCTCATGTGGTCCTGAGGACTTTATGGTCAAGATTCATTAGGTCCAGTGGGAAGGGGACATAATGGGTGCTTCCTTCCAGCATTCCTCTACCACCTGCTTTTGAGACTATTCATTCACTGTTTCAGTTATCCTGAGAGTGCTGCTAACATTTTAAAAGTTCTAGAGCAGTGCCACCAATGGCAATGTTCTTCTGGTCTATCCAATATGGTAGCTACTAGCCACATGTGTCTGTTGAGCTCTTGAAATATAACTAGTACACTGAGGAACTAAAGCACTAACGTCCTTTAAATTGCAACATGTTGCTGGTGGCTACTGTATTGGATTGGCTATTGTATTGGATAGTTCTAGTGGTCTGTGAGTAAAAGTTTTTTTCAAGTTGCATCCTTATCATTATCTTTTAGTCTCTTTTTCTTTTGTACCATTCTCTTTTCCTTCTTTTTTGAGTTGAGTTGGCCTTATCTCACATGGTGGGGAGTTGATCTCATAATTTCAGCTGCATTTAGGATGTAAAGCCACTGATGCACAGAACCGAGGGGTGGGAGTGGAGTGAAGAGCAGGCACCTCAGAAAGCCAGCTGGCTTTACTAAACAGTTTGACATAAGAAATTATAACTACTTACAGATTACCTAATAATTTATTTGTGCTTACATTGGATTTGTACTAGTGTAACTGGTCTACAAAATATGTATGCCATTACTTTGCTTATCTTATATTAGTGTTTCAGGAAGTTTACCAAGGCTAATTGTCTTCTATTTCATTGAAGTTTTTCATTAAGCCAGTAATTGCTCTGACAGGTGAAGATACACACCAGATATAGTAGTAGTGATAATGAGAATTCCTTTCCAGGGCCTGGAAGGCCCTCTGTTATTTCTACCTCTTTGCCCTCCAACCTTCTTTCATTCTTAAACATGCCAAGATCACCTCTGATTTGGGGGTTTTTCACTTGTTTCTTCTTCCTGGAAAGCTCTTCTCTGAGGTCTTTGTATGGATGGCATCTTATCATTTGGCCACAGCTCAAACATCCCCTCTTTAGAGAGGCAACTTTTATGACCATGCAATTACATTGCCTTTTCAGATTTTCCTTAAAGCACTGATAAAACAGCTTCTACCATACATTTACATTCCAGTGGAGGAAAAATTGACAATGAGCAAAGAAATGGAAAAAAGCATTCTTGATGGTAATGCAGATTGTGAAAAACATATCTCAAGAGATCATGTACTCACTGTGTCTTTGGAACCAAGATGAGTAGGTGGTGCCAATAGGGGCTCTGTTAGAAATATTTGTTAAATGAACAAAACTCTAGCTTTTATTCAAAGATTCAGGTTTATCTACAAAGAGCAAATTATATATAATAAATACACTAGAGTCAACTCATTCTAATGTGTTAGTAAATTACTTGTAAAATCTAAAATTATCAAATTATTTGTAGAAAATTTATATTAAATTTTAACATCGTAACCATATTACTTTATTCATTATAAATATTCTGGTATAGATTATTTTTGGCATCGCTAATATTTAAAAACAAAACAAAGGCATTTTCTACTCTTTTCCTGTCAGTAATAGAGAAATATAGGTAGCTCCTGATGTTTAAGAGGGCATATTATAAATTGTATGTATAATTATACTTTAAAACCTTAGGCAAAACACTATAACCAATTCTTCTCTTAATCTCATTTCCCTACTTTCAAGCTTTGAAGCCTAAGTAATATTGTATTATTAATATTTAGTCTGTTTATATTCCTTCAGTTATGCTATTAATCAAATATATATCAAAGCTTATTACTTTTATCAGCAAACAATATTGCTGATTTTGTTTCATGTTTGTCAAACCTGTGAAAATTTGCATTTTGAATCAGAATGTTTTTTCCACAAGGTAACTTCAAGGAACACAGCTCAGTCTGTTGGTTCTTGTACTTGAAACAGACACTCTTGGGGACAGGAGAGACTGGCTTATAGACCCAAATCTGCATTGATGACTTGAGGTGGTAGAACCTTTATTTGGGTAGGACACTTGTGAACTGTATTTTTTTGCTGTTGTTTTGTAGGTTTTTAAAACATTGAATTAGGTTCTGGTGACCTTAAATCACATGACTCTGAAAGAATTAGATCTCTGGGCTCATGTTGATTTGTCAAGTTACATGAGTATAACCTATATTTATGATATATTTTACAATTCTTTCATGAGAACCCAGTATCTATTTAATATTAAAGTGGATAACCATAGGTGAAATAAATGAATTAGATATTTTAGGCCCATATTACTTTGTTATTAATATGTAACTACAACGTGTATTTTACATATGGTTTTAATAAACTTCTTTTTTAGGTTTTGAAAGTACTGAATTGACTCCTCTTGCTGCAATATGCGTGAAAATATATTCTGGAGGAAAAGAATTAAAGGTGGATGGCTCTATTCAAGTTTCTCTCCCCCTTATACATACAAATGATGTAAGTGCAGGGGATCAGATACCTGCCTGGACATTTGATATGAACATAGGTATGTGAGCTACGTGAAAATACTCTGAATATTTTCCTTTTGGGTGTTTGAATGTTTGGTCTTAAAGATAGGTTTCCATATTACTATTAAAGATTTTTTCAGCTTTATTGAGGTATAATTGGCAAATTTTTATATGCTGACTATAGAATAATTAAAAATTAATGTGTCTTATTTAAAACATTAAAATATATCATTTATATTTGAATGATTTATCTTTAGGAGAGCACTAAATCAGTAATGTTACAATTCTAAGCACTTTATCAATGACGAGAATTTGCCCCCACTTTGATTAATATAATACAATTGTGGGGAAAATGATGCCAATATGTTACATGTAAAGAATAGTATTATTTATTCACATTCCTTTTTTATTAAAGTAAGCACTATGCCCAACATAGGGCTTGAACTCATAACCGAGATCAAGAGTCGTGTGCTCTACTGGCTGAACCACCCAGTCACCCCTCCCTTGCCTTTTATATTTCCTAAGATCTTTAACAGAAAAGTATAAATAAATTTTTAAAAAAACTACTTCTACTCTTCTAGGTTTTCGTTTTGATAAGCAATATGAACTTATATCTAAAAGGTTGGTTAAGGCAGTTAAGAAATGTATGTTAATTTCATGAAAATAAACGACATTCTGCTATTAAGATACAGAGTGGTTATTAAAAAAAAAAAAAAAAATCTCAGGTACCAATTTTGGTCCTGAGTTTAGTCTCCGAAGTAGAAGTACTTTTTCCTTCTCTGCTTCCCTTGGTTTTGTTCTTGTGTTTCCATGTAAATAAGAGGAGTGTCTTTAAATTACTAAAAAAGGGGGGAGGGGGCGGGGGATATGATCCACAATTGTTTTGGATGAGTCAAGATACAGAGCCTAGACAGTTTCACAGGATTTGATTTCTCTCATGTTTTCTCTGTGTTAATACCTTTCTGGGATAAGATTTACCTTCAGAGTGGCAAGAAGAGAGTGTAGGTGTTCTGACTTGACACACAGGTTGAAGTCCAATGGAAAGAGATTCTTTTCCCAGTAGCAATTGTGCAAGCTCTTGGATTCACTGCAGTTATAGAATTTTCATGCCCATCTCCGAACCAGCCTTTGTGGTCTGCAAATAGAACGTACAGATTTATTTAGGCTTAAGATTCTGTGTTGGAGGCCCAAACTAATCATGTGGACTGAGAATATGGAGCAGTTAACCTTCAAAAGAGATTTGGAATGAGATTTCACTGCAGTTGGATTGGAAGGGTAGTTAGGCAAAAAAAAAAAAAAAAAAAAAATCCAAATACCTGTTTACTACAAAATGTAAACAATAATATATAGTTGCCACTGTTTTTAAAAACATGTATATAAGTAAAAAGGATAGTTGTAAGAGAAAGTCTCTCAATGTGATTCTATACTCAGTATTGCACTTCTGTCACCAAATGTGGGGGTGTTTTTCTCACACCAAGCAGTTCTCTACCAGCTGGGTATCCTAAAATTCAATTCAGACACTACCTACCTAGAATTAGCATCAGATTCCACAGGTTAAAGGCTCAGTCTTCCAAGAGTGTCCCCTCACCCCCACCTCAGAGGCCAATTACAAGTCCAGTTTATCATCTGTGCTTCTGACCAACTGGCTATAAACTGGAGGTTCCCATGATCTTCTCCTCAACCTTGATAGTTGCTAGAACAGCTCACAGGAAAACAGTTTACTTACTATATTATCAGTTTATTATAGAAGAATATCCTCTCCTCTGGGTGCATCCCCTCCCACCACCTCCATGTGTTCACCAGCTCTGTTCTTCGAACCCTGTAGTTCAGGTATTTTTATGTAGGCATGATTGTCATTGACCATTGGTGATTGAACTTAATCTTCAGCCCATCTCCCCTTTCTGCAGGAGTAGGGTGAAGCTGAAAATTCCAACCTTCTAATCACTTGGTGGGTTTCCCTGGCAACCAGCCCAATCCACAGGGACTTTCCAAAAATCACCTCATTAACATGAACTCAGGTGTGGTTGAAAGTGGCTTGTTAGGAACTACAAGAGGTACTCTTTCCATAGGTAACATTGCATTTTATTACATAGATAACTCCAAGGATTTCCAAAGCTCTGTGTAAGGACTGGGGACTAAAACCAAATATAATATATTGTAATCATTGGATTAAGAGCTCTAAGCCCTAGATTCTAGTCCATTCACCAGCAGTGTGATTTTTTAAAAAAATGTTTATTA